TTTTTTTTTTCTTTTTTTTTTTAGCCATTCGTTACAAGAGCTGAAGCATAAAGTTCAGGCTGGTAAGAACTCTACTTTATAACAAGAATAATATACAGCTAAAATATTATAACTAAAATAGGGTATATGCACATGCATATATCATGTACACATACATATCGTAAAAATTCTAATATCGAACCTCGTAGACACTTTTTTTTTTTTCTCTCATAAATGCTAATCATTTACATTACTTATGTATAGATAAAATAAATGTATCGTTTACTCTCTTAAAAAGGGCTAAATGTTTCTTTAATTTATATAACGTGACGCGTATCGTAAAGATCCATTTTTTGATTGAATTAGCAAAAAAATATGTTTCAGCTATATTCTCTATATTTTCTATAACAGGATGCTCACGCTGGCACACGTCGTTCCAATCCTTCACGCTACCATGTCGAAGATAAGATCAATTGCCACACACGAAGCTTAACCTTAACTATGTACACGCGTATCGCATTTGATTCTAATCTTTTGCGAAAATCGACGATCTGTGTTTCATCATGCTACCGATAAGAAAAAGAAAAAAATACATGGAATGGCAAATCCTTATTCTCCCTTACGATAGAAATGATTATTAGAAAGCAAGCAGCGACTCGGTTGATACCATTTTCGTCTCTGTCCTTTTTTTTTTCTTTTTCTTTCCTTGTTTACAAACTCTGTCAATTACCTCGACAACGCTCGAGTTCAAGATCTTCTGCTCGATAATAATCTGTTTCGAGAAATCTGTTCGAATGTTTTTGCAACGGATGTCAAGGAAGTAGGGAAAGGAATGAGTTATTTTACATTTCGCGTGATCTAAAACGATATGTATGTGAAGCGCGATGGAAACAAAATTGTTCCTTTAAATTGCACACAAGTTCGAACTGTCGAGCGTTCAACGATTAGATTTATCATTCCATTTCAATATCTTGTTAAGATCTGTGAACCTTTTAATTATAATTCAGTGAATTATATAATCTATCTGTACATTCACAACCGTTCAAATACACAATAATATCAACATATTTAATATTGGACCATTGTAAATGAAAAGAAGGGGATATACTTAATAAAAAGACTTTACATTCATTACAGAACACGTGCTGCAGAATTCTATCACAAAAAAGATACATATGCACAACGTTTATCTTACAACGTTTTCGTTGTTTTCCTTTTTCTTTTTTTCTATCCTCAATTCGAAAAAGATAGAAACAAAGCATGTCGTCCCGTTAAAGTGTTAGTCAGATACTTAAAATATGCAACTTAAAATATGGAAAATCGAAGAACCGGTTGATATTAGTACAACATTATTATGCGAGGAAGGAGAATTGATATCACGCTACGACGCGTTTCTCAGAAATTTTATTTCTGCATTCCATGAAAAAAGAGAAGTCGTTTCACCATAATTCTCATATATTCCATTTCATTCAGTCATTATTTATATAAGATAAGGTATTACAGTAATTTACTATGTACGAATTTCAGCTACTTCCATATCAGATCTGAATTGAAGACTGGTATTTAAAGACTCCGGCCTCAGCTCTGATTTGAAAACAACTTGTCTATATAAGTCCATATTAAATATATTTTACAATAATATTATCATTGTACATGAACAACGTACGCTTTACACCTCACTTTTGCATCGCAAACTAATCAGTGCACAACGAGTAATTTTAT